AGTCATGGCAGGCCTCCTACCCATGGTAATCCATCTTGCATGGAGCATTTTTGTGGTTAAGGAACCACTCATACTTCTCTATGGCCTGTTTAAAGGCTACAGTGATGGCTTTGTCCACAGAGGTATTCCCTTTTGCTTGTGAACTTGTGGTGACCCGTGCTGCTAATTGCTTGGTGGGGATCATGGATTTTACTACTTCTGTCTTCGCACTGCTCTATTGGGGTAGTCTGGACAAAATATCTGCCAAGAAATCCTCCCCCCCCCCCAGCAAATAGCGAAGTTAAATCACTGAAAGTACTGGGCCCAGTGGGCTTGCTTGGGGGACATTTTCCTTGGGGTCTTTAGGGCTTCCAGATTCTTGTGATTGATCCATACCTGGAAAGAGATTTTATTCCCTTCCAGGAAGTGCCACCAAGTGAGGAGAGCCCATCTGACTGTAAATGCTTCCTTTTCCCATATTGCCCGGTTAGTTTTTTCAATGTGTATACACAGGGCTGTAGTTGACTTCCCTCATTTTCCTGCAGCCTCACAGCACCCATTGCCACATTGCTGGTGTCTGCCTAAATCACAAAGTTTTTTCTGGGTCCAGGTGTTTCAACACCAGCTCAGCTAAGAAGATTTTTTTTTTAGCTTCTCGAATGCCGCTTGGCATTCCATGTTCCACTTTAGTGGTTGGCTGGGTTTAGGCTTATCTACCCCTTGGTTCTTAGTAAGTTAGTAATAGGGAGGGAGATTTGGGTGAATGATGGGATGAATTGCCTATAGAAATTTGTGAACCCCAGGAAGCTTTGTAGCTATTTTTGGATGCGCAAGGCCTCCCAATCTAACACTGCTTGTAGTTTTTCCGGATCCATTTCCTCCCCCTGGAGATCTAGTATCCCAGGTAGTCTATTTTGTCTTTGTGGAATTCACATTTTGAGAACTTAGCTTATAGTTTGACAGCTTGGAGTTTTCTCAGGACTGCCCAAACCAGCTTTATATCCTCAGCTTTTGTTTCGGTATATATCAGAATGTCATCAAGGTACACCAAAATACTCTTGCATTGGTGTTCATTCAGCAGCTCATTTATCAGCTGCATGAACATTGCAGGGGCCCCTTGGAGTCCAAACAGGATCACATTAAACTGGAAACACCCCAGTGGGCAGTTAAAAGCCATTTTACACTCATCCCCCTCCCAAATCCTGACTCAGTAATAGGTTTCCCAGAAGTCCAACTTTTAAAAAATCTTACCCTTAGAAAGGTGGACCAGCAGGTCCTTCATGAGGGGCAGGGGTTACACATTTTCCACACACACTCCATATAGACCCCTATAGTCGACACATAAACGAAGTGAGTCATCTTTCTTTTCCCAGAACAGTACCGGAGCAAATACTTTTGGTCTGGCAGGCTGGATAAAGCCATGCTCTAAATTTTTGTCTATGAAATTGCACAGCTCATCTAGCTCCCAGGGCGTTATGGAATAGAGCTTTGGCTTTGGTAGCTTAGCTCTTGGGAGGATCTCGATGGCACAGTCAGTAGGTCAGTGAGGGGGAAGTTCGTTTGATTGCATCTCACTAAATACCTCTGCTAGGTCGTGTTATTCCTAGGGAATGCCCTACAGCAGCTCGCTTTGGGCGGCAGCTCCCACTTCATTTCTGCAGCTGGGGTTTTCCTCTCAATTTCTTCCTCCTGGGGCTTCCACCCAGCTTGGGAATGTCAGGATTCCCTTTGTCTAATCCACCCATGGGTTCCATTTTTTTAACTATGATAGTACGAGGACCAGGGGCCATTCCATGCCCAGAACCATAATAAAAGCAATAGTCTTGGAGTGGCTCTCTATGACAAGTTCCATGGGCTCCATGGCAAATGTGGCCAGGACTCTTCCCGCGGTGGACCGATCAAGCTGGCAAAATGCTTTGGGCTTTTTAAAACTATTTTAGGTGGGTCCCCAGTTTTCCCACTAGAGTTGGACTTATTAGGCACTGAGTACACCTTGAATCTAGTATGGCGGTCAGCACCACCTTGGGCCCCATGTTTGGGATTAGCAGTTCTACAAGCACAGCGATGGGCTCAATCATCCCACTTACCAAGGGGTCATAGTTATAGTCACTGTCCAACAGGCTCGGCTCTTCCTCTTGTGGGGTCAGAGTTCCAGATCCGTGCTTAGGGGAAGACCAGAATTCCAGAATCTTGCCTCTCTTCAGGGTGATTTCCCTGGAGTGCTGGGAGGGTATTTCTGGCTTCCCTCTGGATTGCCAGTCTGCCTTTTTGGTTGGGGTCTTTGCACAGCATTCTGCCACACAGTGGCCTTTCTTCTCACATTTGAAGCAGGCTATTGAGTGTAATAGAGTGGACTGGGGCTCTCTTCCTCTCGGGAGGTGACCTCTTCCAGGTTCTGCTCAAGTGGTACTGGTTTCAGGCTTGGTCAATTTTGGCTTCTTCTGCCAAGATGAACCAGTTGTGCAGGCGAGCCGGGGCTCCTTTGGTGATGCAAGCATGGTACAGATCATCATTGAGCCTGTCTTTGAAACAGCTTACCAGTATCCACATGGCAGGCTAGGTCTCAAAACTCCTCTGTGTATTCGGCTACCAACTGGCAACCTTGCTTTACGGTTTTGATGTAGTCCCTGGCTTTTCAGTCAGCAACGGGGGTCCTCGAATCTGTACTTTAGGGCCATAATGAAGCAGTCAAAATATCAGAATTCAGGGGCATCTGCATTGTGGAGGGTCACCATCCAGCATGCAGCAGCCCCCTCCAGGGCCAAGGTAATGACCCTGACCCTTGCCCTTTCAGTTGTGAAGTCCCTCCCATACTCCTGCATGTATGTAAGCACATGCGCCAGGAAAGACCCCAGTTGTTGGAGGTCTCCATTGCATTTTATGCCATGGATGTGCCTTCCATTCCAGCTGTGGGTGTCACCTCCCACCAGCATGAGGAACTTGCACTCTGCCCCGATCTTTCTGAGATGGGTTCGCTGGGGTGGCAATGGGTCCATCGGCATTCTTGGTGGTACCTGCAGAAGTCCCAGGAGCTGGGGGAATTATCTTGCTCATGGGTGACCTCCTCTCGCCCCCTCTCAACTCCAGAGAGACAGGCCCCAGCTTCTCAGACTCTCATGCCTTGGACAGCCTCCCTCATGAGGTGCATCAGTTGCTTCATGAGTTGGTCAGATCGGCCCGATACTTCCTCCATCTCGTAGTTATCACAAAGCATTTCCAACTCATGTTTTCACCCCTGCTGTTGACTGCTCTGGATGAAGGTGACTCCTCAGGTTCTCCTGTCCCAGTCATCCTTCTTCCCTACACCAACGGACTACCTTGGTGTGGGGAAATCGCCCAGGATGATTCCACATGCTGGGATTGTGTCAGGTTGAGTCTCAATGGGGGCTTCCTCCCCGCATTTGGCTTCCTCATGATTGCTGCCCTGGTTTGACATTCTTTGCATGGTCCCCAGAGTAGGAGCCTCTCCAGGTTGACCACATTGCAGATTCTGCCTAATATAAGGTCCTGCCTCACCAACCTTCTCAAGAAAGCAGAACTCTTGAAACGAATGACATTTCAAAAGGAAGACAGTGATAGCAGAGAGTGCAGGCAGAATCTGAATTTCATGTGCTGGAGCATTAGATTAAACCACTCCTTTCGAGGCCCCTCCCAATGTCCAGTTCACCTTTGAGCCAATTCCAAGATGTGAAGCCATTGTGAGAACTTTGGGCTGACAAGTTGATAACAGGCAGTTCCTAGGCACAACGGTCTTGCTTCTCTGGTGATGAGACAAAACAGACGGCCTAAGGCACATTCTCCCCCCCCCCCAACATCCCAAAGATACATCAAAGCAGAGAAAAAGAACAAAAGAAAATCCCATACAAGCATAGCCCGAATCCTCCCTCCCTCCCTTCAGAATGGCAGGTCCCAATAGAGATCAATGGGACCTGACAGAAAGCATTTAAGGAAACTTTCAGGAGCAATGCTTTTAAGAGTAACTGTATTGAAGATGTAAGGAATTTAGCCCAATAAGCGTAACTTAACATTTAATTTTTTATATTAATTTTAATTCTAATGCAAAAATGTAATTTATAAAACAAAGCAAATTGCTAATATAGAGTTCTCTAGGCTGACCATTGCTATATGTTAATTGTGAACAAAGAAATGTTTGTTCTGTACTTATTTAAAAACTATCCATTTTAGAAAAATTGAAATACAATTCTTTGTGCTTATTTGTAGAACTGTCAATAGAAAATCACAATTCCACTCTTGACATATTTGGACAATCTTCTCTCTCCCTACTAATACTCAATTGTGGTTGTAAATCAAGGACTACCTGTATTAGCATATTTCTTTGAATAATAGTTTATCTGCTTAATAACAGTGCAACTTTAACATGGAAGCAGTTTGGTTATATGGTGAAGAAAACTACTTTAGAACTTTTTTTTTCCTACATGCCTCAGCAAATCCTGGCTAATCTTATCTGGGCTTGAAAGTTAAGCAAGGTTAGACCAGTGGTGGGTTCCTCCCAGTTCTGCCAAGCTGGTACCAGTGCCTCTAAAAACAAATGAGTAGACCGGTGCCTCCAAAACAAATGGGTAGACCGGTGCTTTCAAAAACAAATGAGAAGACTAGTACAGCTCTGCAAGCAGTTAAAAGCCTGGTAGACCAGTACCTCTGTTAAATCCTAAAGAATTGTCACATGACCATCAAGCCATGCCCACAAAATAAACCACGCCCACAGAACCAGTAGTAAAAAATTTAGAACCCACCCCTGGGTTAGACCTAGGCAGAATCTGGATGACAGACTAGCTACCCATTTCCACAAAGTTGCCTAAAAGGATATACATGGATATGTTCATGAAATTACCAGGAGTTAACCTTGACTTGGAAGACAGTTTATGTAATTTCTTCACATAGTTAGGTATGATTTGTTTGTTTGAAGTACAAGGAAGATAATTTATTTTGCATTGTAAGCAGCAGAAAGACAGATAGGCTGATAGAATTGTGGAGGAAAAAAAAATCTTCACTCTCAAAGCTCCTTTTCCACAGTGAAATTGTTTACTAGGTATATAATAACTGAAATCCAACTAATGCAATTAATTGCTCACTCACTTTGCATGACGAAAAGAACCACACTTTTTTTTTATTTTCCCTCCATCCTTCCACTTCCTGTGCTGCTCCCTTGTTGAAACACAGATGAAACTCAGATTACTGAATGCTGATTCAGTACATCTGAAGGAATCGACCATGAAAAATAAAATAAAAAATAATGTAGAAATTGTCAAGGAAAAAATTAATGAGAACTAAATGCCAGGACTGGTTGTGTAGAAATTTGTCAGTAAGTTCTCATCAACTTCATTTGGACCTAAAGAATGTTTTGGATTTTATATAAAAAAGGTAATTCTTTAGCATCATTTTTCCCCAAACAGTATTTCCATGTTATTCACTAATCATAATGTCATTTACTTCTAATTGAACAATATTGAAACCAATGGTTTCAGATAGTACAAGAAAATTCATTCTTGGATACACTATCTCACCAAAATATCTTCTGAGACTTGTAGCTGGTCTTCAAAATAAAGAAGCTGATCTACCTCAAAACAGTCACTTGCCCGAGATACCAATTTTCCAAGATATTCTTTGACTTCATCTTCACTTGCCTTCCTCAGTCTTGCTTGTTGGAGGAATTCATATACTTTTCCAAAAATTTCTGCTCCCAATTTTTGAATGGCTGTCCTGCCAGAAGGAGACAGTTGTAGGAAAGTTAGTGAAAATATAAATAGTATACAGAACACATTTTAAATTATAATTGAATATATACCGCAAAGTTTTGTAGTAGTGGAAGAAAATGGCTCTTTTTGATGGGATAATAATGCATGTAACCTGAAACTCAGAAAAGATACATAAAGAGCATTCTGATATCCAATATATCATATTTTATTACAACTTCAGCTGTGGCTAAATTAATTGGGACTCCCTAATACATAAATCACAACTTGGAATTAAGATTGCCAGGAGAAATATCAACAACCTCAGATATGCAGATGATACCACTCTAATAGCAGAAAGTGAAGAGGGACTAAAGAGCCTTCTGATGCAGGTGAAGGAGAGTGCAAAAGTTGTCTTGAAACTCAACATTAAGAAAACTAAGATCATGGCTCCTGGCTCTCTCGATTCCTGGCAAATAGATGGGGAAGAAATGGAGGTAGTGACAGATTTTATATTCCTGGGCTCCAAGATCACCACACATGAGGACTACAGCTATGGCAAATTTAGACAGCATACTAAAAAGCAGAGACATCACCTGCCAACAAAAGTGTGTATAGTCAAGGCTATGAGAGCAAAAGAAGAAGGGGACGGCAGAGAACGAGGTGGCTGGATGGAGTCACTGAAGCAGTTGGTGTGAGCTTAAATGGTCTCCGGGGGATGGTAGAGGACAGGAAAGCCTGGAGGAAAGTTGTCCATGGGGTCACAATGGGTCGGACACGACTTCCCAACTAAGAACAACAAATACATAATATTAAACATGGCTCACCGGAAAGGTAAATGGCAATAATATTTGAAGGAACTTCCGGCCCCAAAGCTCCACTCGTTCTCCAGGTGGCGCAGATCCTCAGGGCCCTGGCCTCTGTCTGATGTTATGCAATGTCAGGTCTGTAGTAAATAAAGCCCCCCTCATTTGTGATCTTGTTCAGGAGGGGGGAGCGGACCTGGCAGGTATTATGGAAACCTGGCTGGGCCAAGAGGGGGGGGGTCCCTCTCATTGAAATGTGCCCACCAGGTTTCTGCGCATTCCATCGGCCGAGGTTGCAGGGTAGGGGCGGGGGGGTAGCGGTTATTATTCACGAAGGTCTGAGACCGAGGGAGACCACTGTTCCTCAGACGGCCGGCTGTGAATCCCTCCTTGTGAAATGGGGTCACGGGGTTCAGATGGGTTTCCTGATCACATACCTGGCTCCCTGCCGCGTGGCAGCAGCCCTGCCTGAGCTACTCAGCGTCATCACCGCGGTGGCGGTTGAGACCCCTAGGCTTATGGTCATGGGGGATTTTAACTTGCCGTCCGTGGGTGAGGCGTCTGAGGTGGCTCGGGAGTTCATGGCTTCCATGACAGCCATGGACCTGACCCAGTTAATTCATGGCCCTACCTACACGGGAGGAAACACGCTGGATCTGGTTTTTGTCTCTGGACAGTGGTTGAGTGATCTTGAGATAGGGGATATAGTTACCGAGCCCTTGTCATGGTCAGATCACTCTCTCCTTCGTCTTGACCTTCGAACCGCTGCACCCCACCGCAGGGAGGCGGAGCCAGTAAGATGGTTCTTCCCCAGGCGCCTGATGGAACCTGGTAGGTTCCAGATGGAGCTTGGGCCATTTCCTGAGGCTCTGGCACACGCCTCGGCTGGAGACCTAGTGGCCGCCTGGGATAGGGCGGCTGCTGGAGCTCTGGACTGGGTCGTGCCTTTGCAGCCTCTGACCCGGCGCCGATCTCATTTGGCTCCTTAGTTTACTGAGGAGTTAAGGGAGTTGAAGCGCCGGAAAAGACGCCTAGAGAGCAGTTGGAGGGCCAGTCTTTCAGAATCGGACCGGACACTGGTAAGATCTCATATTAGGAATTACCTAGTGGCGATAAAAGCAGCGAAATGTAGCTATTTTGCTGCTCTTATTGCATCATCAGATAACCGGCCGGCCGCCCTGTTTAGGATGACCCGCTCCCTGCTCCACCAGGAAGCGCCGGAGGACCCCTTGGAGGGTAGAGCCGAGGATTTTGTTCAGTATCTGCATGACAAAATCACTCAGATCCGGGAAGATTTGGACTCTGACTGGGTAGTCTCAGGGGGAGGGACTGGGGCAGGTCTTGAGAATGTTATCTGGGATGAGTTTGATCCTGTGACCCCTGACGACGTGGACAGGATTCTGGGTAGACTGAACACGACCACTTGTTTATTGGACCCGTGCCCCTCCTGGTTAGTGCTGGCTTCCCGGGAGGTGAAGCAAGGCTGGCTCCAGGGGATTATAAATGCTTCGTTGGGGGAGGGTGACTTCCCCGCCACCTTGAAAGAGGCGGTGGTGAGGCCTCTCCTCAAGAAGCCTTCCCTGGACCCAGCAGTGTTGGCTAATTATCGTCCGGTCTCCAACCTTCGTTTTGTGGCAAAGGTTGTTGAGAGTGTTGTTGCACGACAGCTCCCCCAGTACCTGGATGAAACGACGTATCTGGATCCATTCCAGTCGGGCTTCAGGCCTGGGTACAGCACGGAAACGGCATTGGTCGCATTGGTAGATGATCTCTGGAGGGCTCGGGACAGGGGTTGCTCCTCTGTCCTGGTCCTATTAGATCTCTCAGCAGCTTTTGATACCATCGACCATGTTATCATGCTGCACCGGTTGGAAGAGTTAGGGGTGGGGGGCACTGTTCTACGGTGGTTCTCCTCCTTTCTCTCTGACCGGTTGCAGTCTGTGTTGGCAGGGGGGCAGAGGTCGACCCCGAGGCCCCTCGTATGTGGGGTGCCACAAGGGTTGGTCCTCTCGCCCCTTCTGTTCAACATTTATGTAAAGCCGCTGGGTGAGATCATCCGTGGTTTCGAGATGAAGTTCCATCAGTACGCTGATGATACTCAGTTGTACATCTCCACCCCGGACCACCCCAACGATGCCCTTGAAGTGATGTCCTGGTGTCTGGAGGCCATGCGGATCTGGATGGGGAGGAACAGGCTCAGGCTCAACCCATCCAAGACCGAGTGGCTGTGGTTTCCGACGTCCCGATATAGTCAGTTGACGCCATCGCTGACTATTGGGGGTGAATCGCTGGCCCTCATGGAGAGGGCTCGCAACTTGGGCGTCCTCCTGGATTCATGGCTGTCTTTAGAAGAGCATTTGATGGCCGTGACCGGGAGGATTTTTCATCAGGTTCGCCTGATTCGCCAGTTGCGTCCCTTTCTGGATTGGGACTCCCTACACAGAGTCACTCATGCCCTCTTCACCTCCCGCCTGGACTATTGTAATGCTCTCTACATGGGGCTCCCCTTGAAGCGCACGCGGAGGCTCCAACTGGTGCAGAGTGCGGCCGCGTGGGTGGTTATGGGAGCAACATGGCGCTCCCGTGTAACACCTCTCTTGCGCGAGCTGCACTGGCTCCCGGTGGTCTTCCGTGTGCGCTTCAAGGTTTTGGTTACTACCTTTAAAGCGCTCCATGGCTTAGGACCTGGTTATTTACGAGACCGCCTACTACCACAAATAGCCTCCCACCGGCTGGTACGCTCTCATAGAGAGGGGCTTCTCCAGGTGCCGTCAGCCAAGCAGTGTCGACTGGCGGCCCCCAGGGGGAGGGCCTTCTCTGTGGGGGCACCCACTATCTGGAACGAGCTCCCCCCGGAGATACGGAGGATCCCAGATCTGTGCACCTTCCACCGTGCTCTTAAGACCCTCTTATTCCAGCAAGCCGGCCTGGCCTAATTTTTCTCCCCTTTCTTTTAAATTTTAAATTGAAATTTTAATTTGTTTTAAATTTATTGGGATTTTAATTGTCGTGGGCTAAATCATTTAATTTGGTTTTAAATTGTTCTTAACTTTTGTATTTCTGTATTTTATCCTGTGCCTGTTCACTGCCCTGAGTCCTTCGGGAGTAGGGCAGTATACACATTTAATAAAACTAAAACTAAACTAAACTAAACCTCTCCACATCTCCTCCGAAGATTCCCCTCTTTCCTGCCAGTCCCACCAGGACCGAACCTCGCCCTTAAAGGGCACCAAAACACTGGAAAATCAGCACTGGGAATGGAGCGATTTTTCCCGTGCCATCTCGAATCCACGTCATCGCCTGAAGTCTCCTCCCATCCCAGTCTATTCCTATTCCCATTTCATTCTCTCCTATTTCTATTCCATTGCATGCCCTTCCTGCATCCCTCTCCAGGGGCAGGCTGCCTCACCGGCCACCGCCAGGACTGATATCTATGTGTGGTAGGTAAATTCCACAAAGAAAATACAGTAGATTTAAGCGGGGGGAGATCCAGTCCATCAAAAACAAAAAAATAAAAAAATCCACCTGCGGAAAGAGCCGCCATGGGCAGTGGGGCTGGGCTCACTTCTGGTTGTCCCAGTGCGAGTAATGCCCCTTTGCTGACAGTGCACGATGCTTCATGATGGCAGCTTTGCTCAAACTGGGGGGTGGGGGAAAGGTTCAGCTGTCACAAACATCTCCTGACTGTTTCTTCACGGATCAAGGGGGGAATCTTTGCTTGTTTGGAAGATCAATTTTCTCTAGCAATGGTAAGGCAATTTGAGTTTGGGAGAGATTTCGGGCTTGGAATGAGAATCAATCAGGAATCAGGTGAATCTCCCTCCTTTCTATGGATCTGCGCAATGTGGGATTCTTTGAATACCCCCCACCCCACCCCCATTTAACTAACTCCACATCTCCGATCTGGATAACTCTCGAATGAAGGATGAGTTTATGAGTGAAAGTACATTTTATCTAATGGAGGGGAGGGGAGGGGAATGCGCGTGTCCCAACTTCTTCCATCCTCCTTGGAATCCGCCCTCCAGGAACTCCTGAAGCCTCAGCCTAGCATCCTCCCCTGATCATTAGAACAAAGGCCAGCAAGTCCCACTCTTTATCAGCGGGGGGTGGGGGGGACTATGCAAAAGAACATTCACCTTAATACAGGGGGGGGGATATTTGAATTTGCATCCACTGGTAGCGCTACCCCGATGGCTCCTATAGTCATAATGAGAGATTTGAG